TTTTTTTTATTACAAGTGACGTGGGACTAAGTCCCTTGTACTGCGGCCACTTCTGGCCTATTGTACCAGCCCCAGATGATAGGTGAGGGTGATTGTGGAGCAATTGGTGGAATAAAGATTGGTAGGGGAAACCAAAGTTCTCGGAGAAAACCTACTCCAGCGCCACTTTGTCCACCACAAATCCCACTTGACCAGACACCGGGCCTCCGCGGTGGGAAGCCCACGACTAGCCGCTTGAGCTATGGCGCGGCCTTTCCTGAACACTTAACTTACCCGAATTATCTTTGTCGATGATTCGAAATATTGCCTCGAGACTGGATTTGTTTCTGTAGAGCGTTTCTACTACTGTCGTTCCGGACTGAAAAGAAAGAACGGCTCCCGTTAACACATAAACAAGCTTCAATGGAACTGGAAAGCGATGCTGACAAGATTATGAAGTGTGTGACTGTAATACATGCAATTATTATGCAAATAACCGAAACATGATGAAATGACATCCATTAGACACAATCACAGCACTGTGCGTTCAAATTACCCGCAATAAAAATTACTAATGAACTAAACCTGGTATTGTAACAGTCAGAAAACTTGCATTTCTAAGGCAACTCTAGGAGTATACATGAAAATGACATGGCATCCAAGCCAGATTTATAGTCTGTTTTCTGTTTGATGTCAATTACTATTTTTTTTTCCTTGGCACTACAGCCCCAGTGGGCCTAGGCCTACCTCCATGAACTTCTCCGTTCACTTCGGTTTTTCTAGATCTTACACATAAGGTAGGACTTCTTCGGCGGGTGATCAGCTCGTCGCAAGGCCTCTACATGTACACAATTTCTTTCACTTTGCATTTGGAGCCGTGGTAGCGTAGTCAGTATACCCACTGGCTTCGGTTGGACAACGGAGGGATTGCAGTTCGAGTCCCGGTAGGGTCAAGAATTGTCTCTTCTCCACGTCGTCCAGACTGACTCTCAGGCCCACCCAGCCTCCTATCCAATGGGTAACGGAGGATCTTTCCCTGGGGTTAAAGTGGCCTAAAGCTGACCACTCACCTCCAATTAGTGTCAAGGTCAGGAAAATGTGGATCTACATATTCATTTCCCCATATGCCTTAATGGCGTAGTGCTTATGTAGTTAAGTACAAGGACAATTTTACCTTTTACCGTATTTATTTCCTATCAGAGGCAAAGGACAATATACATATAAAGACAGAGACGAAATCTGTTACCTGTGGTAGGAAAGGAATAAGGTAAAATTAAGGAAGTTTTACCTGTGCTCAACGAATTAAGCACGACGGCATGAAGGCGTATGGGGAAGTGGCTATATAGATCCAAGTTTTCTTGACCTCGGCATTAGTTGGAGTTGAGTGGTCAGCGTCACGCCCCGGCCACTTTCCCCCCGAGGAAGGGACCTTCGGTAACCATTGCATAGGGGACTGGGTGGGTCTCAGAGCCAGTCTGGAAGACGTAGAGAACAGAAAAGTCATGAATCTACTGGGACTCGAACTCAGACCCCTCCGTCGTTCAGCCCGTAGCCAGTCGCTATAACGACTGCACTGATATTTAAAATACATGAAAGGGAAAATCTATAAAGACTTGCAATATGCGGTCTCGTACCAATCTTCTGCTGTTCGTATGTTCTTGGAAAGTGCTGTAGTACTCGACTTTGCCAGTAGATGGATCCAAAGTCACGAGCTTCTCCCGCAACATCCGCCAGGGGATTCCCAGTCTAGTTTGTTCCTCCATAGCTGTACACCACTGCGACAGGCTGATCATACCTGCGTGCAATACAAATTAATGATTATCATCTGCAGAGCACAAGGCAACTCTGCTAATTCTCAACTGTAAATTGAAGTTCCATTAGAAATGTTCCTGTTAAGATCCCCTATCACGTTCTTTGCCACTTACACGCCAAAAGTTAGCAAAAATAACTGCTCCCTTTTCTTTGTATATCTCCAGGGTAAGTCACACCATCCATTTAGAAATTTCTAAATGTGAGAGTAAATATTTATTATCAGTGATGCTGTTGCATGAGAAACATGCAATGTAAAGCAAAAGGGAAGGAGATATCTTGCTTAGGGACTGAAGTAGTTAGTATGCTTAAAATACACAAGCCTCCTACCAAATTTGTATGTATAATGAATGTAAAGACTGCCGGAGTGTGAAGCTGATAACTCTGTTCCAAATAATTTCCATACCATGCTCTTTAAAGTTTTGTGTAAGTCAAAATAGTAATGCTAAACTATTTTGGTACTGAACAAGTTCATCTGATATGTATCTAGTTTATTTAACGGTGGTCTATTATCTGCCTAGATGCTAATAGCCTATTATATGTAGCTGAAGAGTGGTTGAAAATTTGAGGAGTAAAATAATATCACGACCTCTGAGTGATTATAGACGGAATTATATTTATAAAAAGATTATTGAACTCTTATATAACTCGTTACTACACTTGACAAACCACTATAGAACACACTAGGTCTTCTCAAGTTTGTTACAGTCTTCACTAACTGTTGCTTGGCTGTGGCTTTTGACAACGGATGTTCCCCGGCCTCAGTTTCGCACAGCAATAGCTCACGACTACAGCGAATATCTCACTTACCAACCAACTGACTCCACGGAACGACTCACTAATTTCCCTACTTGTAATATTTTGGCGTAGAAGTGAGTGATCAGCTTCATGCCCCAGTTGCTTTAACCCATGGGAAAAATCCCCCGGTACCCATTTTATAGTTGGATGGGCCTCGGAGCCGGTTATGAAAAACGTTATGGAGGAGAGAAATATTGGTTGCATTTGCTTGGGATCGAACCCAGGGCGTTCAACCTGTAACCCGCCTTTATACAAACCGAGATTTTTCTGCTCACGAATTTACTTCTGCATTTATTTTGTAATATATCTTTATAAGTTTTCAGTCTTTACACTTTCATTCTGTAAAAGTTGTCTATTTTCTTAATTTTGTTCCACGTCATAAAGACGTATGGGGCATGGAGGTATAGTTCCACATATTATTAATCTCGACACTAGATGGAGATGAAGGGGTCGGTTTCACGCCTTGGCCTTTTCATTCTGAGGAAGAACCTCTGACATTCATTCAAAATGGCTCCAAAGTCGTTTTTGACTCAGTGAAGAAGACAGAAGTTTCTTGCTTCATACGGAAACTCAACTCCAGTCCCTCTGTCGTCTAGCCCCTAATTCAGTCGCTTTATCGACTGAGCTGTTCCAACTCTTGTTCCATTCTGCATGATGTTAATATAAAGATGACCTTTTCTTTCCAACCAGCAGCCACTACTCCAAGCTTCTTGACATATCCATTATCCTAAACTCTAATTATGATTAACATTCAACTTCACCTTTTCCAAACCCGTCACAGGCTAACAGCTGCACATGAATGGAAAAAAAAAAAGTTGAACAGTTCCTGCGTAATACATAAATAATTCAGATACAGTATTATCTCAGGCTGGCTTCCCATCACGGAGTCAAGAGTTCAGTACCAATTTATTTCTTGTAAAATTTTCGGTGTGACCGCCTCTGTGGCCTAGTGATTAGAGATCCTGGCTACAGATTCATAGATCGGGTTCGATTCCCAGCGCTACCAGATTTTCTGAGAAGTAGTGGGTCTGGAACGGGGTCCACTCAGCCTCGTGAGGATAATTGAGGAGGTATTCCAAGGAAATAGCGGCTTCGGTCTAGAAAAACGAAATTAACGTCCGTGGGGATTCGTTGCGCTGACCACGCGACACCCTCTATCCGCTAAATTTAGCACTAACTTCGCCGAAAAGCGAAGAGAGGCCTGTATGAAAGAATGAAAGGATTTTATTGCGCCTACGTCATCAATGGCTCGGCAGACCGAATCGACGGTTTATTTGGCAGTTGTTTCTGCAGATGTAAGGAACAGTCGTTAGAGGGTAAAAGCGATGAAATAAGAAAGGACGGGATGGGTGGGACATGTAGAACCCACGATGAAAGCAAGTAACAGCGTAAGATACAGAAATGCATGGGAGACTACAGTATTTTGACCTAAGAAGACTGAAGCAATAAGAGGCTAAAAAATGTTCTATATAACAAGGAGCTCCTTAATCGCCACTCCACGCCAATTATTATTTTAATGATCAAGGCAAGGAGGATTAGATGTTTAGGGTACGTGGCACTCATGGCTGAAAAGATAAATGCGTGACAAATTTTTGGTAAGGAACTTGAAGCAAAGAGTAAAGTAAAAAAGTGAAGGCCCATAGAGTTGTGAGACGTTGAGGGTCCCAATCGGCTCAAAGATGGCGGTAATGTTGTCAGCCTTACGCGCCGGCCGCGCTTTACTCCCCAGGAAAATTATATAATTAATTCCTTTACTCATTTCTGTTAGAGGCTGAGCCGACCCCAGGGACATAGTGCGGCTGGAAGGATTAGGTAAATTGAAAAAAAAAATCCAGTGACCTCATCGGGACTTGAACCCGCGACCTTCCAGCTTGTAGCATAGCCCCGCAACAAACTACGTTTCGGTGAGGGTAAAATCCTTCTTATGAGTAAGGGAACCTCGTTTGACTTTTCCAAGTCTTTCTTGAGCAAATCTTCAGGTAGTTACTTTATTCCTGGCAATTCATCTGGAGCAAATCCCTTTGACTACATGAAGCACATCTCTTACCTGTTTGAAGAATTCTTCATGTAGCTATACTTGAGGTTATCTGGTCATCTGGTTGTAGTGGCATGTAGTTCGGAGGTAGCCCAGTGTTTCTTAGGAACATTTCACCTGAGCTCAGCGTGCTGCCTGCTTCTGCTGGTTTCTTCCGTATTTACTTTTATATCCTGAAGAGTGAGGCAATATATACCACCGAAACATCGGATTTCCTCCGAACTACACAGTTGTATGAGGCAAATGACAATACTCTTCTTCAAATAGTCGCTGTCGCCTCGCCAGTGGGACTCTTGCGAGTAAAATCTTTCCTGTAACTCTCAAGTATGTCTCACCTGTTTGCTCCGGGTCGTACTTCAGAAATTCTTCAAGAAGCTGATCTCGCCTAGCGAGTATCTGACCGCTGAGCTCTCGAATTGCTGAACTTTCCACTAGCCCAACGCGCTGTCTAAACGTCAGCTTCTTAGTTCTTGGAGTGGCCGTTGTGAACTGCACGAAATGGGGCGCCAGCTGTGGCCCCACCAATTTGACGTAAGCTCCTTTGTTGGAGCCCACTTCATAATAGTTGGAAGCCGAAAATATTGTGATTACCTGAGACACAAATTCCAAAATTTCAATTCCATTAAATTCTTAATAATTTTATTAATTTTTTTTTTCATTCTGGTCCGTCACACTACTAAACTAAATTATAGAATAATTGTTAACTCTGGAAGTTGTTAACAATTATTCTATAATTTAGTTTATTAATTACATTAGTCGTATTCACTAACGTTGCACAGTGGTCGCTCGGACTGAAGAATGAACCGTCTTCGCCCTGGGGTCGACTCAGCCTCTAACAGAAATGAGTACCAGTAATTAAAAAAATATTTTTCCTGGGGAGTAAAGGGCTGCCGGCGCGTAAGGCTGACTTACCGCCATCTTTGAGCCGATTGTCTAGAAAATGTGGGATCCTCAACATCTCACAACCCTATGGGCCTTCACGGCCTGTTACAGGGATAGCTTTACTTTTTTTTTTTTACCAACATGCGTCCGGAAACGTTTAATAGATGAGTTATAGATGAAAGAATACTGTACATGCATGACGGTGCCCCGGCACATTTTAGCCGTGCTGTGAGAAGTGTCCTATCGTGGCCGAGGGATAGGTAGAGGAGGACCCACTCCGTGGCCTCCACGCTCACCTGACTTGAATCCTCTGGATTTTTACTCGTGGGGACCCCTAGAAACCCTTGTGTATGCAGCTCCTGTTGACATCGCAGTGTGGATGCCTGTCAGACTACCCGCAAGTGCCCCGGCACCTTTGTACGGATGCGGCGGTCCCTGGTGAGACCTGTCGAGACGTGTGTTGAATCTCATGGAGGACATTTTGGGAGCTTATTATAAATGTACTCTTTCAGCTGTAAGTCACAAATTAAACGTTTTCCGATACATTTTTATGCGAATATTATTTTTATTCTGGTATATTGAACTCGTGACCGAAATTTGTCTGCACCTTGCAGTTACACCCTGTGGATATAAGAACGCACATCATCGAGCCCCCCCCCCTTTTTTTTTAAATTAACCTTCCCTTATTCCGACGGATTCAGTCACTGGAAAATAATTTTCATTATATTTTCCAAGAACTTTTCGTGACAAATATGAATTCATTATGGGAATTTGCTTCTCAGAACGCCTCGCCTATTGTTTCAAGGACTCTTCACGCGCTCATCTGTATGAGTAAAAATATTAAGTATTGATTTAATGTCTAAGTCAACTTCTGAGCAACCACTGGAATTTTACTTTAAAAAAATCTATTTGTGAGGAATGACGGATTCTTTTCCAGCTGCCAATATTATATGGGAAGATGATCGTGAAATCTAGTAGATATGGACTCGAAAGGAGTAGACATTACTTTTTGCTAGGTTCTGTCTTGTCACCCAACCTTCGAAAATTCGATCAAGGTACCCCAGAATACCAGTTTAGAGCATTATTGCTACGAAAGCTGCTGGATATAGGGTAAATGAAGTTTCTATATATATAGTGACGGGGAAAGTTAGCTGAAAAGTTTCCGTGATTTTCGCCAGTATTTCTGGGTAGATTGCAGGACGGTACCTCGAATTATTTTACGATTGCTTCCTCTTACGTCACTTCCAATTCTTTGTTAGCCACTCATCGTTCATTTAGGTGCTATAAGTCTACAGACTAAGCGACTAACTCCCTCGTTAAATAAATTATAAATAACAACAATATACTGTGGCGTATAGACCCGTTGCTAAGAGATGGCGCTGAAAACATCAGCCGTTGCTAGGTAATGCCCGCACGCAACAGTAGAGGAGGTGTCTCATAACGTGACGCGTACAGCCGTTGCTATGTAGCACCCGCAGCATACGCGTGCGCGGCGACGTCACATAACAATAGAAGAAGTGATGCAGGCGGTGTTCTCTGTGACATCTTATCTACACAACTTGGGACTACATTCAATTACAGCGTTATCCCTGATCTACACATTTTACAGCTCACCGTTACATGCGCACTAAGGTTCTCAGTTTTCACTAGTCGTATCCTGGTAACGGATTTGTAACAGTTCCACTGTAACTTCAAACCACACATGAAGTCTTCTTTTCACAGCTTAATTTTTTCCAAATTCAATTCTTCTGTTCCCAAGTTCATACCTTGACAAAATTCGATTAACTCTTCTGAACTGAAATCTTCTGTATAACCACTTTGCACGGACCACGTAGAAAACACAGCCTCTCTATTGTTGGGAAGGCGTGTTTAGAACGCCTTTGCATAGTATCGGAAGTTACTCGATTGCTGCTTGCGTATTTGTTGCCGCGGGAATGTGTTTACCGAATCGTTGCCATCAATGAACATTTCTTCCGACTTTACAATTCTGGTTTTCGGGCGTTATGCCACAGTATCAGGGAGTGCATTTGGTACAATATATACCTTCGCCATTTTAGATGGATCAAAAGCCATGTCTTTCCATTCTGTGTCAATTTACTACGACCCAGATCTCTTGAATATATTGATATGATATCTTCACAGCGTTGACTGCAAAACGTACCCTCTTTGGAATCTGACGTCGTGTAATCCGGTAGAATGTTACCGACGTTCTAATGGAATGTACTGTCTTCCTTTCAGAGTCGAAGTGAAAGTTAAGAAATTAACCAGTTAAGTTGATAATTATTTCTTTCTGGTTGCTTGTTTCGCGCAGTCTGCGACACTGTAGGCTGAAGCGGTGCCTTCTTCAGAAAGTTTTCACCACCTTACATGGTGTCACATTCCAGAATATGACAATATTTACTTCTGCTGAGTTCGAAAATATACTCTATTTCCTGGCGGAATGCACCGAGGGAGTAAAGTTAGCATTTCCCCATAAAGTTACCCGTGTTTAATGACTTCTGTCAGTTACTCCACCCAAGCAGTGAATACACACCCATCTGTATGCCTGATTCCCTGCACGCAGCTCTTTCCTGAGAACTGCATTAACGTGTATCCCTGAAGGTATAACAGTGATGTTACTGTAAGGACAAATTATAAAATCCATGCGTGTAATTATACAAGACGCCATTAAGCCGTATGGGCGCATTCATAAACTTTGCCCTGGATGAGGTGAGTGGTCATATTTACGTCCCGATATCTCATCCTTGAGGAAAGAGCTCTTGATTCTCATTGGTTGGGAGGATGTGTGGGCCCCAGCGCCGGCCTGGGCGCCGTAATGAGTAGGAAAATGAGGGCCCTACCACTTCTTTTTTAATTAGCTTAATGTGGTGTGGAGTCCAGCTTGGTCTACTCGGCACAGCGGCCACTGATTGGCCTATTGTACCTGCCCCGGGTGATTGTGATGATGGAGAATTTGGTGAAATGAAGATTGGGAGGGGAAACTGAAGTACTCGGAGAAAACCTACTACAGCGCCACTTTGTCCACCACAAATCCCACTTGACCAGACCCGGGATCGAACCCGGCCCGCCGCTGTGGGAAGCCAGCGACTAACCGCTTGAGCTATTGCGCGGTCTTAGCTGTGATAAATCCGTTGCCAGGATACGACCTGTGAAGTAGAGAATCATAATGCGTGTGCAAATGTGAATTGTAATGTGTGTAGCATAACGATAGCGATGTAATTACGTGTAGTTCCGAATTACGTGAGCGTATAAGGCGCAGTGAATCCAATCATCCAATCCAAAACATGTTTTATAATCCACCCTAAAACGTGACAATATGTCTTGTTGCATTTCTTGAAATATTTATGATATAAAGAAAACTTCCGTTTCAAAGTTTTAACGAGAACTGCGGACGATCTATCACCCTATGACTGTGTCCAATCGTGTGGAGACTATCCGTGAGATGCTGTGAGGAGCGACAGAGAAGAAAGTAACAGGAGGTTCGAAAAAATTGGATAACGAGGGACTTTACAATTTGCACCATTCTCCAAATATTATCAGGGTGAGCAAATCAAGGATCATGAGATAGGTAGGGCTATGCAGCACACATAGAAAAGAGATTTGCATTCAAAGTTTTTTGTAGGAGAAACTTTTTCATTATTTCTATAACACCATTTACCATAAAGATGGAACCAGCTGGTTCTTCTAATACAATGGCATATTTCTACCAGATTATACGGCACCACACCCCGGAAGACAGTAGATTATATTACGAGCTGTCAATAATCGTGCTCTTATGGTCGAATATTACGGACAATGAATTGGAAAAGATTTAGGAGCAAGCGATCTCTTACCTAATCGAGGTACTTGTCTTGAGAACCCGAGGAAAAGAACGTAAAATCTCAGTCATAACAGTTGGTGTCCCTGTAGACATTCGGTCTTATCACCTCCCGAAAGCCAATCCAGAGCACTGCCCCCGCGTGAGCGTCACGTGTCTAGCGGTCTGCTACTGGCTGAACATTCATCGTCGCATTGCACCTTGTAGTAATAAAGACTGTCGCTGTAGCTCACGCCTTACCTGACGTCAAAGTTCAGAGTAATTAGTGCTTTGTGTACTGACCTTGCTGCTGTGTGTAATCTCGTAACCTTCGGGTTTGCACTCATGAGACCTGATGAGGTACAGCAGCTTGTATTTCTGCAGGAACTTATCCGTCACATCGGGTCCAAAATATGTTCCAGCCCCTCGTAATGAGTTGGGGATGCAGCCATCACCAGGCTGGGGGTCACTCCACAATATATCGAATACCTGAAACAGAGGACTTGAATTGTTGAATGACGTTTCCGAAACTCTTAAGTTTCCTGAAGATGGAGGCGATGTATCCTCCGAAACGTCGAATGACTTCCAACTGACTATACGGTGTTATATCCTAGAATATAGTACTTTTTATTCTCTGGCTATTCATCACCAAATTTTCGGAAGTCCCTGCTACCTCCATCTTCAAGGTAGAAGATAAAGCAGAGGGTGGGAAAGGTTGTAGGAATGATAGAAGAAGAAGGACATGGTCCTGAGGGAATCAGTAGGCGGTAGAGGCAAGTCAGGGGAAGGAGACTCAGGAACTACTGCCACTTAAGACTGGTTTTCACAAGGGCAGAGTGAACGGGGAAATGGGTAAATCACAAGGAGGGGCTGATTCCAGTGCCAGAGTAAGATAAAGATAATGTTATCCCTGGGCTTCATTAACTACGCGCCACATCGTGAAGGCTTCTGCGGAGTGGAGGTCTAGCTCCACCCCGGGAAAGAGCACTCGATACCTAGTGGGTGGGCCCCAGAGTCGGTCTGGGCGTTACAGTGAAGAAAGAAATTTGTTGCACCTACAGGGAATCGAACCCCAGCTCACAGGTGTCCTCTAGTGTGGTTCCTATACAGACAGAGCTTTCCGGCTCCTCATACAACCCAGTACGGAGCAAAATTCAAGATTCGTGTCTCTCTCTCTCAACGGCTCTAGAGCCCTTTGGACCTTGGCATCTTCTTCAGTTATTTTATACGTAATATACACAGTCGGTTTGACTTCTTGGATCGGCCCGTCGCAAGGCCGCTACCCACAATGCCCCAAGTGGGATTCGAACCCACAATGCAAGTGTTCGAGCGAGCGAAGACGGTTCATGCCTTAGACCCAGCGGCCGATGTGATCTGCAAGAAGGTTCATAGAAAGAATAAAAATAAATAAAAATATATAATATGTAAATATTTGAATATTCAGGTTCCGGTAGGGTCAAGAATTTTCTTTTCTCCAAGTCGTCCTGACCGTCTCTGGGGTCCACCCAATCTCGTATCCACTGGATAAAGGAGGATTTTTCCCCGGGGGTAGAGCTCACTACTCACCTCCAGCTAGTGCCTTGGTCCAGAAAATGTGGACCTCTGTATCAACTCCCCATACGCCTTTGCGGCGTATTGCTTTAATACGTTAAGCACAGGGACAACTTTATCTTTTATATATATAAATAAAATAAATAAATATAGCAAGTGTGAGTGAACCTAAAGGAGGTGTTCCCTCAGGGCATCCGTCCCAGTTTTCC